TAGGCGTGCTGTGCTGCTGAAGCCAAGCCCAAGGACAGCTTCATGCCTTGCCTGTTCCTCGCGATCTGCTGGAGTGGCATTTGGGCCGCGGCGAGACTAACACCGAAAGACAGTAGCGAGCCTGGCCTCGGAGCTCTTGTCTTGTTATTTCCCTCCCTTGGAATCAGTGTTAGAAAGAGCGAGAAGCCACGAACCAGTAATTTTGTGAAGCTGCTTTGGCTCTGTCCATGTTATTATTCTAAATATCAGTGTATCTGTGCGTGCGTTTACTGTCCTGTCCACAGCAATGCATGAAAACATCTGTTAATTACCAGTAACATGAAGAACACTGTTGATTTTTTTCTTCTTGGTGAGGGAATGATGTTATTGATTGGTGGGTCTTTTACATTTCTGGTAATTAATTCCGTTTTCCAAAAATTTAGGGAATTTAGAAATTGTCAGCCAGGAAGTCTGTCCGTCTGGTCAGGCCAGGCAGCGCACTGTGTCATTTCCTTGGGAGGAAAACACTCACAACAGGTGTATTTATTCTTACTGTCGCTGTTTATTGGAAAGCGTGTCGGAGTTCTTGGAGCAGAGCCCTGTTGCTCAGGAGAGGTGCAGTCAGACAACTGCGAGGCTGTCCTAGTCCCGGGTGCCGTCACGCCCTGGACAGCTTTCATCTACGGCAAGTCTCTCGCTTTAGTAGCTGAGGGAGGTGTCGCTGCTGGTTTGGAGATGGGTTGGGTCAGTGTGCGGGGAGCGTGTGCCCAGCATAAGAACAATCTCTGGTATTATTTCAACTGTGTAAAAAAAGGTGACTTCAAACACAGCAGCAGAATCAGTAGCTAACCTCATAACTTTCTTTTTTCCCCCTTTTGGAGTCGGTTGAAAGGACTTCCTCTTAGTCCTGTTTGTTTTTCCAGGAAGGCTGCGAGAAGAGGTCCTACGGCTGACTGATTAGTGATTCCAGCAGAAGGGTGGAGAGTAAAAATGTCAAAAATTACTACTGAACTTCTTTTGGAAAGAGCTGTTCCAAGATCTACAAGGCTCCGAAAGATCGAGACGCTGAAGTAAGTGCAGACAGGCCCATGGAAAATTCCAGTTGAATTCAGCCTGGGCGATCCTTTTTTCGTCTTTCTTCCCCTAAGCGTTTTTACTGAAAAAAGACGGTTACAAAGCACAGAGCAGGAGATCGCATTCTTGATGTAGGATCAGTGAGCACTAGTGGAGCTGCATTCACTAGATAGGTTATCAGCAGTTACCACCTCTTTTCACCATTTATATTGTATATATGCTGCCACCTTCTTTCTGTAAAACTGCTTAAGGCTGGATCCTGATTTCCTAGCCCGAAGATACGCTCCCTAACCCCAAAGCACTTCTGTCTTTGCTAGCAGTTGCTTAATGCAAATAAGAGTATCTCTTCTGGCCTCAATTTTAGAGGGGAATAAAGACATTTTTGGCATTATTTCCCCTCACTTTTCCTCTCCCTCCATCACTTTCCATCTTCTCTAAATCCTGTTATGTTAGTACTTCAAACATTGCAGAGAGGGAGAATAAACTCTGACACGCTTAGAAACCACTAAAAATAGTTTTGTTGCTCAGATCCTTGACAGAGGCCATTTAAAATACGTGTCTCCAGCACGGTGGAATTCCGCTATTCCAGAACTGGTCAAACTGAGTGACTCAGCTAGCCAGTTTGTGGCTGGTGCCTTTGCGGTTTTTGTTGCTGATGCCAGAGTTTTGGATTTCACATGTGCTCTTTAAAGTTATTTCTTTTAGTTTGTCTTGTGCTAAAACAACTGTTTTTAGAGAGAAACTCAAAAGTTTATCTGGAGTATAGGCCACAGTAATCTGGGTAATAAAGTGACATTGAGATGTTTCAAATGGTGAACTTCTAGAGTGTGGTTTTTTCCCCTGAGCTTCATACCATGATTTTGAAAGGTAGGGTTTCAGAAAGTCCATTTGGGGAGCACTGTGTTGTGTTTCTGCCCAAACTGACACAGTAGTCACACTCAGCTTTGCAGCCAGCTAAATTCCGTTTGACCGTTCTTAAATGCTTGGACTGGCTGGTTAGGCTGCTGGGATGACAAGTGAAGCAGTGGTATTGCTTCCTAATTTTATGTACCTTGTTTATTCACACTTCATGTATATTTAGAAGGCCTTTTTTTATTACTCATTAGAGGTGGAGATTCTGTTTGTGAAAGGAACTCAGGCTTGTGTCCTCAAGAGGCTTTGGCTGTTGGACTAGAAGCTCGCTTTGGAGCTCAACTGAATGGTCTAATACAATCTGAATGACCCTTCTTACGATACACAGTTTTCACTTTCTTACAGAGAAGGGATATTTTTTTTTTCCCCCCTCACAAATACTGTGCCACTTTCAGGACAGAATGCTTCTGTTTTGGTGGCAGCCTTGGGATTTTGAGGTAGATTTCCATATTTGCCATTGGAAGTTTTTGCAGCAAAATTCACTGTAAAAGAAACAGAAGAAATACTTTTTTGTGAAGTTAGTTCTTTGCAAACAGCCAAATTATTTGGGGACCTACTCTGCACTTGGCCTGAACTTAATTTCTGATGCAGAGAAGAAAAGTTTTGAACCACATCAGGAACCTGATCCAATTTGCCACATCGTTGTGTGAGTGCAAGTGTCAGCATGAAGTGAGGGGGAGGATGGGACCAGCCTTTTGGAATCACCGTGGTCTCACATCGCTTTCACCAGCTGTGAGGTGCTGATTTCTAAGCAGTGAGTGAAATAATGAATCTAGTGCGTTCTGTGGACAAGGTGGACCGATGGTGTAGTGAGTGTCTTGCATTGCCACAGCTTGTTTTGTTGAATTTACGTTGCAAAGGAATAAAATACCAAAATTCTTAGAGGTGTAGTAGTTTTTGCTATGAACGAGAACTTTTCTGGCTGTTCACTGCTCACAGCCAGCTCTGTTTGCCATAGGAGGTTTATCTGAACTGCAGGTTAATTGTACTGCAAGTACTTTGGTAGACTGGAGTCTCTGATGGTGTCTGTTAGCTTAGACACAGCACCTTTGCCACATCTGTCTGCTTGCAGTCCATACTGCTGCAGACAGGAAAAAGCGGGTTTGCTGGGGTTCGCCCAGTGAGTTGTGCTAGACTGAGAGGTGCCACCAGGTGGGACCACGTACCCTGTGAAAGTCAGCGTTTTTCCAATGAGTTACAGGTAGTTCATGTTCTCTTCTGTTTTCAGCCTGTCCAAGCTGCAACTGAAGACTGGAGACTTAGACCCACGTTTGTTCTCCCGTCTGAGGCATCTGCAGAAACTAGATCTCTCTGATAATTTACTGGACAAGTTTCCCAGCAGTCTAACCCTGCCTGATCTGCGTGTCCTAAACTGCAACAACAACAAACTGGAAGATGTAACTGCTCTGAAACAGTTCCCTCTTCTCGAGGAGCTAACCTATGAGAACAACGTGTACTTGACAGTGAGTTACCTCCCATCCCTACAAGCTAAGCATTAAAAAGAGGGGGAAACAGACAGCAGTTGTGCCTAGTTCTTATATATTGTTGTAGGCAGCAAGTGTTAGGGCATCTGAAAGTGCAGCCAGTCTTTTTGCACCCCTTCACCAGTTTGTGCCACTATTTCCCCATCTGCAGGAGTGACTTGCCCAAAACCACTCAGATACTGAAATCTGGGTATCTGGAATTCCTGATTCTCCAGGCCGGGGTCCCATATTATGTAGCTTGTCAGGCAGGATATGTTATGCTCGTGCTTTTGTAGAATATAGTAATGACTGTGTAGAAATGTCTTTCTTATATGTTGGTTTTAGTGCCCCTTGTGCTCTGGAAGAGCAGACTTGATCCTCTGGTGAGGAATTAAGCTTGGTCATTAGTCTAGTTTAGATTTTCTGACTTCTTCCAAGAGGCTGTTCTGACTGTACCAGTCTAAGCGTTCAAAACTGTAATTTCATTTGTGCTTCAAACTGGCATCAGCCACCATCGCTGTCCCCAGATGCTTCTTTGCTGTTGCGTGCTGGCAGAAGTGTATGTGTGGCTGTGTGGTAAACTGGATTGAGGCACTGGTGTGACTTCAAGCGCCCCTGACCCAAGGAAGCTCTGCTGGCCCTGGTTTGCTGTAGGCAGGGCAGGCGTTGCTCAGTGTCAGCTGCTCGCTCCCAGTTAAGGGATGTGCCCAGGATGCCCTGGTTGGACCTCGGCGGAGCAGATGGGCCTGGTGACACCGCCACCGCCCTGTGCTGGATGTTAGTACTGCCTAAGTGTGAGGCAGGTCCGTTGGCTGCAGTTTAAGATCCCATAGGATCATAGGAGAACGTTAATTTACAACTAAAAGGTGCTATTCAAGTCAGAAATGCTGAAAAGATTTTATGAAATGGCTTTTCCTGACATAATATATTCTTCTTATCCTTGGCTGTGTTTTAATAAAGGACTAGAGCTAAAGCAAGCACAATGTGTACAATTAACTCTGACATCTTCTCTTTTTAGCTCAACGATGACTATAAAGTAATGTTTCTTTTGCAAAATCTTCGGCTACTCAACGGCAAAGATATAACCAAACTGGCTAATCACGTGAGGCATGTCAATAGTCGTAAGCTCACCAGCAAGGTAAGATGGGCGATATTTTCTTAATCTCTAAACACCTGAGAAGTAACTAAACACTGTGCTCAGTTTAATGACAGAGTTTCAAACAAACATCGAATGATGAACAATAATTCTGGTGTGATCTGAGCACAGCCCGCAGTGTGGGCCACCTTGCAAATGTCTTACTGCTGCGTTCTCTGGTCACTGCTGGCGTTTGCTCTACCTGTTCTGTGTAGCCAGCTTCTGCCTTCAGTTCAAATCACAGCAGCAGGGCCAGCAAGGTCTGTGGCTGGCCCTCTAGTTTTTCAGGTCACGCCAATCATCGTTCAAATATGGGAGAAGCCCCGTGTTGACATAACAACTGCGTACACCTCCCCATCTAATTCCCATCACTGTCCTGGCACCAGGAGAGGGGAGCACAAAACCAAGCTCAGGATAATCTCACTTTTTCCAGCGTACACCAGGAACCGTTCTTCTTCAGCTGTGCCGGTTTGGAACTGTGTTTTCACTCATTTACGTACACAGTTTAGCTCCTGACAGAACGTCCCCACAAAGCATGTTGTGATCTTGAGCAAAATTATTGTTCTATTATGAAAAAGGGTATTTTTTTGTGCAGTACTGCTCTTACCACTTGTATTCTAGTTAGCTGATCTTGTTAATTCCTTCTGTGTAGCAGTGGTGGAGAGATCAAATACTGAAGACTGGGATGGCGTATTGCGCTAAGTGTTATCTGTGTAATAGCTTGTACCTCAAAGGGTCTTGGTGAGAGCTGCTCAGCCTCTTATCCTCCAGGCAGCTGGGCATGGTTGGCTGTTTAATGAGACACCAAATGCTCCCCTGTGCTGCTCCTTTTGTGCTGGTGTCTGTGTCCCAGATGGTATTGCTTTGTACCTGGCTGCCCAGTTCTTACTGCTGTGTCTAAACGTGAAATGTGGGTTGGGTCCAAATGCTGATGGGTGTGTTAGTGCCCACCAGAAACCCTCAGACGGGAAACTGTGCTGACAGGTGAGCATCTGCGTGGTTGTGCCCACAGTTCAGAAGCTTTTTGGAGTCAAGGTATCATTATAAATAGGGATGACAGGTGCACCAGTCCTGCTCGTGCATGCACTTCAACTAC